CCCTAATACTGACTTTATCTTTTCCTTGTATTCCTTGAAAAAGTCTAGTTGATCCGACATTGAATAAACAGACTAATAACAAAGGAAAGAAAATATAAAATAAAAAAATGTTAAAAAGAAAGAAGTGAAAATGTTAAATGTTGGAGAAATTTTGGATAAGAGTACAAAGGCAAGGGTATATACATAAATATACATACTGCTATTTTAGCTGTGAGAGGATCATATCCAGCACCGCCTGAAGCAAAACTTACTCCTGTTAGGAGGTCTTCTAGTTGTAGAGTTGGGTCAAGATATGCTGGTAACAACTCTTTGATGCCTAATAATTCAGCTGCAAAATTATATAATATGTTAAAAAAAAAAAAAGAATCATGTAGTAAATGAATGCATTTTAATTCCTAATTTTTGTGAAGCCAGAACAAAAACAAAGAAAAAAAAAGGGGGAAAAATTGTTGTTGCAATGTTAGTGCCAAAGGAATTAACACCATGCCTGCAAAGTCAGTTGGGATTTTTCCATTACTAAATCTTCCGGTTGGTTTTCCTCCCTGGAAATCTCTTCCATAAGGTGGAAAATTACACTTGGCTACGGTATTAAGTTTATTGTTATTCCCCGGATCGACTATGGAATCCCCAAAAACAAATAAAGCAGGAATTGTTGCATTTTTAGCTAGATCCAAAGCGCAACCTCCATTAAAGAGAAGGGCCAAAATAGCGAGCGTAATAGTAGCGGAAGAAGAGGAGAGAAACATTACTGTTTCGGTACGTAAAAATTGTTGAAGAGACCCTTCTGACTTGTCCAATTTATTAGGAGGGATGGAGATTCAATATAAGAAAAGGATGTGGCTCTGTGATCACTGACAATTTGCGAGCCATTTAAATGCAGTAGGTCTCCGGTGCACAAAGCAGGTCTTCGTTGCACATTCTTCCTTTTTTTTTTTTTGATAAGAGAAATTGTTAGTAAGTTAACATTAATAAATGTTAACAACTGAAGATTCGATCTCAGATTAAGTGAATAGCCCACCAATCTTAATCAGCCACAACTATCAGACCGAGTTGTTTGTTGCACATTCTTGAACGTGATATTAGCGGGAAAAGCCAGAGCAAATTGTACTTACCCTTCAAAAGTGGTTTGCGTGACTGTCCTCAACTAACTAAATGTGCAATTTACTTTTGTAGGGTAAGTAGTTTCCAGTGATAGCCCTCAACGAACAAAATGTGCCGTTTACATTATATTTAATAATTATTATATAATAAATTTGATAAAATTAAAATTTATATTATATTTTATATATTTAATAATTATAATTAAATATTTTAATATTTTAAATTTTAAAATATTTTGATTTCTCATTTTTTTATTGTATATAATTTGAAAATGTGTACTTAACTATTTGAATTATACAAATAAATTTTATTTTTTAAAATTATAAAAAAAATATACTTTTAAATTTAATTTGTTTAGTTTGAGAAGAGTAAAATGAAAAATAAAAAAGTTTTTATTTAGATAATAAAAAATTAAAGGGGAGGGTTGAAGAGGTAAAAGGATTTTTTTTAAAATTTTTTTGATTTTGTATTCTAACTAAATAAAAACAAAATGAAAGGAAAATAATATCTTTTCATTTTTCTTTTCTTTTCTCCGCCTGCCGTTTGTTTCTATCAAATCAAATAAAGGTATGTATTTTCGAACTTTGACTTTCAATATCAATAAATTTGAGATTACGTACCACATTTCCCAAATCACAATTTGTCAAGATCCCGCTTTCAAATCACAATTTGTCAAGATCACGCTTTCATAATTTAGAGCTTAAAGTGCCCAACTCCAAATTTTGTCAAAGTTCATCGAACACGTAACAAATGCGTAAAATAGAATATAATATAAGGTCATGATTCTCGTGAAAAGGAAAATTTTTTAGGTAACGGGCTCCAGCTTGCCGAAAAAACAAAAGTGCATGGTTCCACATCCCTTCTTCGGTTCTTCCCCTTCTGCTTTGAAAGGAACCGCATTAAAGTGTGTGTGTGTGAGACGCAAAGTTCCCATCAAAATAGGAACTGGTGCCTTTATCTTTTTTTTTTCTTTTTGTTTTTTTTTTTAAAACAAGGACAGTTAAAACTTAAAAGGAGAAAAGGAAAGGAAATGACTCAATTTTTGAGCTGAAAAAAGCATTAATAGCTT